AGATAAGAACAAGCAAAATGAGCTAATCTAATCTAGATAAGGCTGCTGTTGCCGAACTGGGTAGGATGAGCATCACTGAATCCTTGCTGCTGCTGGCGGTGGGCCCAGGGCCTGTTGCTGCCGGCGGCGATGGTACATCTTCCCGAGGAAGGCGTCCATAACAGTTGGTGAGTCCCTTAGAGCTGAGATGTTTTCTGTTTTGGAAGGGTTAAGAAAGGCAATGAAGCTGAACGTTCAAAAGTTAGTGGTTGAAGGAGACTCAAAGTTGATTGTAAACTGGTTAGGGTAGGATAGTGGTTTATGGAAATTTGCCAATGAAAGGAGGGAGGTTAAGTGGTTATCCAATGGGCTGGAAGTTCAGTATCGTTGGGTGAAGAGAACTGCAAATACATTGGCAAAGCAAGGGGTGGGAAGGGAGCAAATGTTTTGGCTATTTTGTAATTTCCTTCTTGTTCTCTTGGGGAGAGAAGTCATTTTACCTCTTCCCAGAGTGCTGTATGCAATCCATTCTTTTCTTAATATATGAGTTTTTGTTATTGATCCAAAAATAAATCCATTGTTATTTATCAAAAAAAAATATAGGAAACATGTCAGAAATGTCATATGGAGATATTAAAAAATATAGACATGGTGGAAATATTGTGAAATATGCAGAACTATATAATAATATTTTATAAAACGACAAAAGAAACATAGATGCACCCTTTTAGATTATTATCTTGTTCAAAACCATCAAACAAAGCCAAGAAACTGTAGTTAATAGACATCATAAGACACTGTGAAGTTCTGCAGAATTCAAGGGTTAAAAATACATAATAGATCAAGTTCAAGAAAAATTTGAACTCATAGAAAGGGCAAATGATTCTAATAGATCAAGTAATAATCTACTACAAACTAAACAGACAAAAACTAATTTAAAATCACATCCAAAAAGAATTTTGAGATGGCTCAAAGTGACCATCCTCTTCATTAAGCACTAACCAGGCAAAAATACTACTACGTGGGTAAGAGAATGACGATTGGTAATGTGTCAATCAGAGTACCCTTGGTAGTTTTCACTAGAAAATGTGTCAATCATAGTAATATTTCAAACGGGTACCCATGGAAATAGAAATATGCTGCAGAAGTATTAGGAAATATGTCAACATTTTAAACTATGCATAAGAGTGCAATTAGGATTTACTGAAGGCTTCCGATTGGGGGAGAATGGTCCTATAATTTCTCTTTACAATATGTTGATGACAAGCTAACTTTTATCAATGTTTTGGTGGACCAAGCACTCAATTTGTGGGCTATTGGAAAAAAAAATGAAGCCATGTCCAATCTTAAGTTCAATTTGGGTAAGGCCATGATGATTGGTAATGGCAAGTTGGCTACATAAATGGGGACCTTCTTGAACATTGTGCTGGTGTTTTCAGATGTCAAGACTGTCAAGTTAGGTATTTGCCCTTTTTTTATAAATGAGAGTAATTTTATTGAAATAAATATCAGAAATACAAACAGCCTAGGAAGAGGCACGAGATGTTACCTCCCCCAAGGACTGAATCATAAACACTAAACATGCCCAAACCTTAGATACAAATTACAAAGTAGCCCAAAACAGATCACCCCTTGACACCCCTTGCTTGGCCAGAGAATTGGCCATTACATTTGCTGATCTGCTAACCCACTGGAACCTAACAGCCATATTTCTTGTCATCCATTTAACTTTCTTTAACAGATCCCTGTAGCCCCAACAAACTGTGTCTGGGCTATTCAGCCAGCCCACTACTACCTWGGAATCTCCTTCTACTAACAAATTGTTCACTCCTAATTGACTAGCCATTTGTATACCTTGTACCGCTGCTAGTAGCTCTGCCCTTACAGAATCACCTTCACCCACTGGTCCTGAGAAAAGAGACAACATATTGCTGTCTTTATCTCTCAGAATTCCTCCAATTCCGGATGGACCTGGGTTACCTTGGCAGCTGCCATCAAAGTTCGATTAGGTGTTTGCCTTTACACATCTTGGAAATCCAATTGGAGCAAAAGATTTGGCTTTACCTACTTAATCATTGGGAGGAAGAACCACTCTTATCAAGAGTATTTTGGTCAGTCTTCCAGGGTAATTTTTTATCAATTGTGAATGTTCCAACTTCCAACAATAATAACAGACAAGATGAAAAAGGACTCAAAAGAGATTTCTTGTGGGGTGGAGGGAGAAATGGAAAGAGGCTGCATTACATGCCCTCATTATAATTGGGTTGGGATGAGTTTGATTTTTGATTATACATGCATATATATAGGAATATTACACAGATACCCCCAGTCTAATGCCTTGTTTATCAGCAATACGGAAAACCATTCATTCATTAAGATCTTAAAATGAAAGGATTACAACAAGTTGTGAGAAACTAGCATAACCCATTACAAAACAAACCACCCAACACTGTATTACAACTGTGCCCAGTACACATGTTGTCTTTGAACCCCTTGCTTAGCCAAGCCATCTGACAAGCTGTTAACAGATGGTCATTTGAAGCACCTGAATTCATTTCTAAGATGCCAAATCACCACCTCATCTTTTTTTCAATCACCCCACCACTAGCTTTGAATCACCTTCAATGATCAAACTACCAATTCCCTACTCTTTAGCTTTTTCAACCTTAAAGACTGTTGCTAAAAATTCTGCCCTTACTGAATCACCTTGCTCAATTGGGTCTGAATACAAGGCACATTTAATACCAGCCTCATCCTTAATCACCCCTCCAATTCCTGAGGGACCAAGATTGCCCACAAAAATCAAATTTCAGTTTCTTCCAACCAGCCACTGGGGGTGACCAAACCTCTAGGATCTTTTGTTTCCTAGAGAAAAAGCCAACTATTGCCCCCCAACTCCTGAAGAAGTTCTCCACCTTAAAGTCTGAAAACAGTTTCGAGGTCTTTACCCATGTGCAACTCTTAGAGTTATGAATTCTATCACAGTCTAATACCTATTTTTCTCATGATATGCTTGTAATATTTTTTTTTTATAAGTAAAGAGTCGTATTCCATTAATTCAAAGATCGGTTACATGAAAATCCCCTTAGAGAGGCACGAGGTGCTGCCTCCATACAGAAAACACAAAAGCTACATCAAAAAGTGCATGACTGTTAAAAAGACACAAATTACAGTTGCACCCAAAACAATGTTTCCTTGTTTGTCCCTTGTTTTGCCAAGACATCAGCAAATGCATTAGCTGATCTCCCAACCCACTGTACTGTTACAGACATATTCCTTGTCAGCCATTTGAAGCTGCTCCACACCCATTTCTTTTGCAAGAATTATTCCTTGTATTGCAGCTAACAGCTCTGCCTGAATAGAGTTCCCAACACCTAAAGGACTAGAGTATAGTAAGACAGCCTCTCCAGCCTCATTCCTCAGTACACCTCCCAAAGCAGAGGGACCCGGGTTGCCCTGGCTACTTCCAGCAAAATTCAGCTTCAAAGAACCGTGAGGAGGGGGGGCCCAGCTTGTCATTACCTTTATCTTTGAGGAGCAACAACTTGCTACTGATAACCAATCCCTCCAACAGTCAGTAAAGGAGAAATGATCAAACAAATCTAGTCTTTAACCAATGTATTGCCCTATACAAAATGCAGCCCTTCAAGGCCTGACTGCTTCTCCCCTTTTCCTGGAAAATCCTGGCATTCCTTTCTTCCCAAATTTTCCATAACAAGGCTGCTCGTGCACACCTCCACATCTTCCTTCCTCTTTTATGGGGCCAATAGGACATAGAAGGGTTAAAAGATTGTAGTTACTTCTGTTGGCATATCCCATCTACACCCAAACAATGATAGAAGCCAAGGAAGTAACTGTTGTATAGGTTATGTGTATCTGTCCAAAGTTGTATAGGTTGTGTATCTGTCCAAAGATGTGAAGGCAATCTAGGGTTGTGTGTTAAGCCATTCATCTTCTCAAAATACACCCTACTTTCATCTCCCACCAAAAACTTCATAACCCTTTGGACAGATATACATAACTTATACAACTTCATTCAGTCCTTTTTATTCAAAAAGCACCGCTTAGCACAGAACCCTAGACTACCTTCACATCTCTTTCCTTCTAACTGAAGATTCTAGAATTTCTCTCCACCCAAACCATGCAAACGAGAGTAGACCTAGAACATTTCCACAAGATTCTACCCGTTCTCTTTGGCCACATGACGAAGGTCACAAGATCAAATACGCCACTAATCACAAAAGTATATTCCACCTGCATGGCTGCATCCAAACAGAATAAAAACCTTTCTCAAATGCCTACAACAAAAGGGCAAGAGATTAGAAGGTCATAACAACTCTCACCACTATCTTTGCATGGAAAACACCTATTAGGGGATATGCAAAGGAAGGTTCTTCTTTTTTGAAGATTGTCCACAGTATTTAACCTCCAAAGAAAAACTTCCCAACAGAGAGAACCAATCTTTTAAAATTAATCCTTCTGTATTTCTTATGTATTTTTTCCAAAACTTTGTACCTTGCTTCATTTGGGTGCACACCTGACCTGACCTTATATATTGGACCTTGGGCACTAGAAGGCCTTTGCACTTTCCCATGCCTCTCACTTTTAAACACTAGATGCAACTCTCTTATCTCCTAGTTTTGGTTTTGTTATTTTTAATTAAATTATAATGAAAATGTTTGGCCATTTTTTTCTCGGATAATCATAAGATGAACCAAACATATGCTACTTATTTTAAAGAACAAGATAATGTTAAATCTCAGACTAATGTCTAGCATGAATCGCATACTTAACTACGATAAGGTTCGAAAAGTATTCCAAGTTCCAACCATCATAAACTCAAGCATCTACTTGCAGAATAAAACAAAAGCTTAGGGTTGTATAGGAAGTTCAAAACTTCAAATGCAAGAACATATAGAATGAAAATTAAAAACAGAATGCAATAATACCAAGACATGAAGAGTCTAAGAAAGATACCTCAAAAGGGGCTCTAAAATATTTTGCAAGAAACAAGGCTATTTACATGCGGTAGAAGTTTTGCAAACCGGAGCTTCCAAATCCTCTTCACTATCTTCAATTCAACATCAGCTGCATAGAAGGATATGGTGTCTGTAAAGACTATTATTTTGCCATCTTTCAAGCTTCCAACCGGATAAATCACGCTAAGGCTTCTCTTACGGGCAAACTTTACACCTTCAAGAACAACAGTGTGCTGTTTAACCCAACCACCCCCACAGAAATCCTTCAAAACCCATATGTCAAACTGCGCCGTGGAGTCAACTCGAGTCGCAAATGCTAAAAATCCCCCACATTCCAACAGTCTATCTTGCCTTCCACATACAGGGAGTGGTGTCCTGTGAAAAGTTTCATCAGCTGTATCTATGGAACACATGTAATCCTTGTCCTCTTCCAAAGAATTCGTCAAGTAATGCAGGAAGCCTTTAGTAGAAATATGCTCATTAGTGCGTGGGTAAAATTCCTCAAGCACAGTAACATGTCTCCATGTAGCAGAACCTAGGGTGAGTATTTCACACATGCGGAAATCCTTGTTCATATGAAAGATTAAGACTTTATAATCTCTTGTGACGGGATGAAATGTGAATCCATACCGAAATGAGTATGAAGAATTAGACAATCTATCGTTAGCAGGGATCTTTACACATTCTTTGGTGATGGGGTTACCGACGAATAAATCTCCACTCTGGTGGTGGATGTCGTCCAACAAGATTAAGCCATTGCAACTGGCACAAATTCGAAATCGATATGGGAGGTCAATACTCAAATCCCGAACCCTGAACTTCTCTCCCTTCTTCTCCAGACAAGCGGTGCTCAATATGTACCACTCCTTAGTGGGATCACGGTATTGACCAAGTAAAGCAGATTCAGAACGGGAGAGATGTTGATCGATGAAGGAGGGTTCCGATATCAGCTTAGTCCAGAGCTTGCATACTGGCCGTAAGCCATAAAGCACATGGGCTGGGATGTTAACGAGGATTAGGAAAATGATTTCCTCCGGCACGTTTTCGAAATCCACCTTCCGATTCTTCTTCCTTCTACTTCTCTTTCCATCGTTTCTAGTTTCAGACATCCCTGCTCCCACTGCCTTCCTTGCTCAAACCTTTTTTCAGGCAGGCGTCGCTCCAGCTTTTTTTTTTCACTGTTTGTCTTTTGACTCCGGGCTTGACTCTGAATGCTCTTTCTTGCGCTGGAAGCAAGAAGCCACCTTCCTTTTTGGTGAGAGGACGAGCCGCTCTTACGCCATTAGATTGGAATATATATTTAACTGCAATGAACAATGGCCTACCCTGTAGTTATTGATCTTTTTCCGCCCTTTTCTTCTGCTCTGCTGCGGCCTGCGAGTGACGAGTGACGACGGTTCTGCTTTCTCACACTGTTTAATCGTTGGAGTGGAGACGGAGCAGGCTGGACGTGAGACCGACTGGCCAGAAGCCATTCTACGGAGAGCTTAAAGTTCCGCGGTGGTGAGGCCCCCACAGACCAAGATCCCATTGGAAAGGCTGCAATCTCGCGGGATGATTCCCCCGCTTCCGCCACTCCAGGAGTTATGTGTCGTGGAGGGACCTTCCAAATGGGTAGCGTTCGGTTCGGTTCAATCAATCATTCTCTTTTAATGGGAATTAATGGGAATTGGAAACTGGAGAGAAGGATATGATTTTATAAACGGATTAGAGGTTTCTTGAATTCGTATCTATATACTAAAGCAAAACAAGGAATTTTATCTTTTTTTTTATTTTTTTAATTTTTAATTTTATTTTATTCCATATCATTTTTACAAATAACTAATAGATAAATACACCACTATTATCTCTTAAATTATCTCTAATTTCTATTTATCTTCTCCCCCACTTATCATCTATATATATTTAAATAAGTTTTGAATTAAAAAATTTAAACATTTGAATAAAATTATGTAATAACTTTAAAATATTTATTAAAAACACAAAAATAACTATAATAGATTTAATAATATTTAGATTGTTAATAATTTTATATTTTTACAATATTCATAATGTTTTAAATTTTAATAAAAAATTATTTAATTGGATTTAAATAATTAAAAATAAAAAATATTAATTAAATATTTTAAATAACAAAATATTGAAATAGCTAAATAACTATATAACAAGATATTCAATCTTATGTAAAAACCTTAAAATAAAAAATTTTGTATAACAAAAATTTTAAATATTTTAAATATTCTTTAAATATTTAAATAACTAAGTATTTTAAACAATGAAATATTTAACATAACTAAATTTTAAATATTTAAAACAACGAAATTATGTAATAACATTATAAATTGTAATTTCATGGATTATTCAATTTAGTAAATAATTAGTATTTTAAAATTTTAAATAACAAAATCATTTAATAACTATATTGTAAATATAAAAAAATTAATAAATAAATCATATTTTAAATATAATTTAAATAAAAAAATAGATTAAATACCAAAATTATGTAATAACTTTAAAAAAATTTTGAAAACACAAAAATCATTACAATAGATTTAACAATGTTTGATAATAAGACTATAAAATTTAAATAATTTAAAAATAAATAAATATCATTGAAATAATAAAAAATGTATTAAATAATTTAGAGGTATTGAAGCTTCCAAATAACAAAAACATGTAATAATTTTCAAAAAAAATAATAGATATTAATAATATAATAATAATTACAAATATTATTGTACTTATAATAAAAACATTATTTCACTTATATCAATTAATAATTCTATAAAATAATATTCAAAAAAACTAATATTTATTGATAATAGTTTTAAAATTTTATCTATATCTATTATATATTTATATATACTAAAATTAATATCTATTGTATTTTCACTAATTGTTTTTGCATTTTTATGATAAAGTATATTTTCAATAATTATACATAAATCTATTTTCATTTTGTTATTTAACAGTAAATTTTCAATAGTTATTAGAAATTAAACTATTGTTATGTAACTTTTTGAATAAATATATTGTATGTTTTATAGTTTTAAATTCAGTAATTATGTATTTCTGTTATAATTATTGATTAATATTTATTAGACATTAAGCTACTACTGGAGATTACACTATTTATTGATTAATTTAATATATTTTCAGTATTTATTGTGTTTTCATAGTTATCGTATTTATTATATTTTTTATTAGCTATTTATAATATGTTTAGTAATTATTTATTACATTTTTACTATAAATTTTTAATAATTATTAGAGATTAAATTATTGTTATTTATTGGATATTAGAATATTAATTTAGCTGAAAGTAATTATTGTTATTTTCATATTATAAATAAATTATTAAGTAGTATGTGAAATATAAATAATTATTAATTATTTAAAATGATAAAATATAAAAAAAAATTATCTACTCTTATGTATTTCTATTGTTTTACTTTAGCTTAACAAAACCCGTAACTTTGCATAGTAAGAAGTTGAACAAAGGCATTTGACAACTTTAAATGGTCTTTGTTACTAGCTCTTACTGAGAAATATAGCTTTAGTAGCCACCGGAGAAATTTGATCCGGTCATGTGCCTCCTCTCTACGCTTCACTATTAACATAAAATGGTACCCAAAAAGGTCGGACCCAAGCCCTTTATCTCTTTCCATAATTTTGGGGATAGTTTCCGGAGAATTAAATCCTCTGATTGTTAGAAGAGGAGCCTAGTCTCTCTCATCTGTTCTACCTAACCGCTGTGTAATCTTCCTCTGTTCAAACCTCAAGAATGCAGCTAAAATTCAATTGAGACATGAGCATTTGCGACCTAAGGTCAATGTTTTAAAAAACGACCCGGAATCAAAACTGTTCTGGCCACTGATTTTTGGGTTGATGGTTCAATCGTTTGGTTTGAATGGATGGCCTGTTCTGACAAAATAATTTAAAAAATAAAAAATAATTAAAATTTAAAAACGGCCAAAAAATATTGAATAGGTCGACGGTTCAACTGCCTGAGTTAATAATTCATTGACCGATTCAATAGTTTTTTGCCAAGGACCGGATTTGGAGTAAAACGGAACTGGTTGTCTAAACGGTTCCCGAGCCAAACAGTCCGAGTGTCCGGGTCAATCGGGGTTCGAAAACCATGCCTGAGGTTATTCAATTGGGATCTGCTTATAAAGTGGCCTGGGAACTAGGATATTCTCACGGATCCAAACTTTGCCTGGCCTCGTTTTCCAAAGTGTTTATTACCCTCACTCTTATTTTCTTCATTCAAAAGCTGGTTAGAAGCCTTCTTGGGGTTGGGGTAGCATTCAATTTGGACTCAAAACAACTAAAGAGAGGTTTGATATGGAACGTACGTTGGTAATGGATCTGATCATGGTTTTTAAAACCGAACCGGTCAGGGGTCCGGTTACTGGGTCAAACGGTTCAACATTTTCGAACCGAATGCTTGGCTTGTTCTGATAGAAAATAATAAAAAATGGTCAAAACGGTTCGAACGGTTAACTGCCCAGTTCAGCAGTTCGCTGACCAAAATCAACGGTTTTTGGGGGAAATCCAGTTTTTGGGAAAAACGGAATTGGTCAAGTGATCAGTTCCCAGTTTTTCCGATCCGACCGTCCGGTCCGATCTGATTTTGAAAAGCATGGATCTAATATTCATAAATGGTCGACCCTTGGATCTCCTCCTTACCACATTTCAAACTTTAGACCGCTTGGCCCTTGGGTTGTAGACTAGAGAAAGTTGAACACCTTGTTTTGTCTAGCTCTTGGAAATTGAACCTCAGTTTGCTAAGGCAACTCTTCTCCTCACTTGAAGTTGAAGCCATTTTGAAAATCCCCTAAGCCTCTATGACCAGCCATTGACCAACTTTCCCCCCTTCTCAAAATCCAAAAATAGAACACCCCTAAATGTCAAGTAGAGGTGAGCAAATGGATAGGTTCTACTTGCAATCAAATGGAACTGATCTCAAACCGGCTTTAAACCGACCCTATCTAATTTGTTATAGGGCAAGGTCTAATTCTAAATTCTTGGAACCAAGTTCCAAGGTTTTACTCTACCCGAATCAATCCAATGAACCAGCCTTGGTTGGTCTTGGTGGAACTGGCTTGTAATCGAACTTTACCCAAAATGGAACCGACTACCTAACTAGTTCCCAGGTCAACCGATCTAACAGTCTGGTTTTCAAAATCATGATGTGCATAGAGTTTTTGCTTTTAGGATAAGGAGATGTAGGTGTGGGCAGGATTCTTGTGGGTTGGAGATCTGGATTGAGACAATACAAGTAGTCCATTCTCCAAAATGGTAGCTCTGACAGTCTTTTTGGGAAGATCTTCTAGTAGTTCTTACAGTCAAGATGCATTAAGCTTTTGCATGAAGATTTAAGCAGCCTAAAGCTAGTTTAGCTACTATGCACCTTTTCGTGTCTTTCCGCACAAGAATAAAGTGAGAAAGATGCGAAAAACTCCATTTGGAGCTTCCCGAAATCAACCCAAAATGGGCTTTTTGCGTCTTTTTGACACACCTACTTTTGGCGATTAAATCTTTTACGAATCAAACGAAAAAAGACTGGCATAGTCTACCTCAAGTTATAAACAGCTGAAAGACTGCACGAAAGACACGCCAAACAGGCCTTATATTGTCCTATGTCTTCACTAGGACCAGCAGTCAATAAGAGACGTTACAGGTGATGTAAAATAATATTGGTGACCTATTTTGCCTTAACTTTTGTGAATTTGCGAGATGACAAAAATATGTGATACATTCATGTAGTTTCTATTAATGTCCATCTTTAAGTGATGGTAAGCATGCATTTCTTTGTCATAGACACAATTTCCAATTTTTGTAACCTAAGTTTTCCTAGAAAATACCTTCTTCAGTCTGCATTAGTTTTCCTTAAAATGGACATAAAATTTTCAGATTAAAATGTTTCAACTACTATTATTTGTGCTCTTTTATTAACTGAAAATTTTTTAACCCCCCTGGCCCCTTCTATATGTAGAAACGACAAAGAAAACTAGGTTTTCAGTATGACAGGAACAAAAATTTAGCTTAGATATTTCGGTCTAAAAAAGTTCTCTGACAATGTTTAAATGGAGCCCTAATTGCATGAGTATGTAGTGTATGACATTACTTTGCTTGGACCACTTTCCAATAAAAAAGGGTATATATGAAGAATTGATCCAAGGTCGTTGTAGTCTCGTAGAAATATTTTTCCTTCATCAAATAAAAGGCAACACTATGAAATCTTGAAACGCCTACTTTATTGCTGAAATCAACAAACTAGATTATCAGTGAAAGCCATTGGGAATTCATTTGACTCAAATTGCAACAGCCCAGAGAATTGTCTTTGGATAGGGTTTAAGTGGCCTCAGATCAAGATACCCACAATGGCACTACAACTTAATTGTATAAGGTAATTAACCAAGATGTTTTCTTGATTCTATTTATGTAGTGATCTCTAAATTGCTTGACATTTGTGCTCATTGATGCTGATGAAAAGTTGTGGGTAGTCGGAGGATGCCGATTGAAGTGGATAATTAAAGGTAGAAGTAGACGTTATAGATGCTGTTGGTCCCCAGATGTCTCATTCATACAATCAGATGTTACAACTTCTTTTGGGTTG